AGTATATGTGAACTGCTGTATGAAAAGTGAATTTACTCTGTAAATCTTCACCCAAATCCTAATCAAAAAAATATATATATAAAAAAAATTGGAATCATAGAGCATTCTTCTGGGTGTTACTTCCTTCAACCAACACTAAAAATCTATTGATGCACTAAGCTATAGTTTATTCTTTCCTTCTAAAATATAATATTTAATTGTAAAAATAAGCTACAGAATAATTATTCATTCAACCATTAATGATCATTTTATTAGTTTCCAGATTTTACTTTTATAAGCAAAATCCATGTGATGATTCTCATACATGTCTTCAGGTCCACCTGTACAGAGTTTTTCTAGCATCTATTTCTTGTGGGTGATTAAACAGCTGAGTGTTGGCAGTATCAGCAGGTTTCCAAGTGGGTCCAGCATACCCTTCCACCAGCAAGCATAAATGATTAACCCCTCTCAGATGGAAACTGAATAGTCCTTCCTAACTGTTGTTCAGTTATTGGAAAGTAAAGCTTGTTCATCTCTGGCTATAACAGAGAGGATGTTTCTTTTTAATTTTGTAATGAACATAAACAGGTTTTTGTGCCAGATAGGCTGCAGGGGAGGTGTGTTTGGTCAGGTTCTCTGCTGCAGGGTGAGTTTCTCTCCACAAGTTGTTTGAAGGCACACAACTTCTGCATCTTCCCTGAGGTGGGACCCTGAGTCCAGAGCACAGTCAGAGTCACTCCCTGCTCACATAAAGGCTGCTGGTCATTTTCCTCCCTAAACAGTATCCCTCACCTTTCTTATGAGACTTTTTAAGATACAAAAAAAAACAGGATTTTTAGAACTGCATTTTTATTTTGCTTATTTTTTCCCCCTCAAAGGAAGAATACCTCCTTTTTAGATAGAAAGATACTGTATACTCTTTTCTATAGAAAACAGAAAAAAAAATGGAGTAATGTAAAATGCTGTAGTCATTCTTGAGTCAATTTTTTAAAAGAATATTAAATTTCTGTAGTTGTGTGTGCACAAAAGCCCACTGCCATCAAGTTGATTCCAACTCATAGTGACCCCCATTGGGTTTCAAGGCTATAAATCTTTATGGAAGTAGATTGCCCCAGCTTCCTTCCACAGGGCGGTTGGTGGGTTTGAACTGCCAACCTTCTGGTTGGCAGTAAGATGCCTCAGGCACTGCATTACTAGAGCTCCTTTAATTTCCGATAGTCACATCTTCCCTGCTCCCCCAAAAAAACCAGTCCCTATAATTTCACGTCACATCCATTACCTGTAAATGACTGTGATCTAACATCAGAAATTGTCTAAATTCATGAACGATAAGAAGCAGAGTCATTCCTGTGAGGTTCCTGTGAGGTGTAAGTTCCTATGAGATGGTTCCTAGAGGTGTATGTTAGACATACTTCCATTCTCCAATTTTTTCACCACTTCTGACACCAACTGTCCCAAGCCCCCTTCCCCCATGGCATGCTCTACTTCTCTGCTGTTGCTGTTGTTGTTATGTGCCGTCGAGTCAAACCCGACTCATAGCAACCCCTCCTTGGGTTTCCGAGGCAGTATCACTACGGAAGTAGGAT